GCTTGCATTTCGCGGACGCGCGACATTCGTGGCGTGTCCGGCATGCATATATGCAAAGCGCGCGCACCCGCTAATCCAGCGCATCTTCCTTAAGCGCGCTATTCCCGTCGACTATGCGACCAAGAGAAAGAGAGAGAGACAGATAGGCTAAAGAATCTTTTATGCCGGGACACGCGAGTGGCTTGCCTGCGCGACTGCGCTTAACATTGACCGAGTGAACGCCTTTTTTTATTCAGTCGCAGCAGCGCAGCGAAAGTCCGACAGCGATGTGGGAAATATGGTTTTTTTTTCCTTCAATCGCATGGTTTGTCACAGTGTCGTAACAGTTTTTATAGATAATTTACTCGGCGTAACAGCGCTTACGTTTCTCACGGTACGACAAAGACGAATGCAGATGCATTCGTAAACGAAAGGTTTCGCTGAACAGCTGAGGTCGCGGCAACATTGCCATTTGCAAACAAAAAAAAATAATAAAAACGCCATTCGCGGAAAACCATCAGACTTTGCCCCGCGAAGATGGCAAAAGAAGTAGCGCCGAGGGTACGAGCGGCAGATGCCAACTCGGCTAAGATTACACGAGCAGCGCGGCGCGGTGCCATTGACGATTTTACGAGCGACGACACGCCGAGAACCGTAAAAGAAAAAAAGCGTCGCGGTAGCAATTGTGGTTTTTTGCGCGATCCACATTCTAAGTAACATTGCCACTCTCCGTGCGCGGAGAAAGCCAACCAAGTTGCCGCGGTGAGCGCGCGCACGCGTGTCTCGCTCCGCGATCGACGCGTGCAGGCGTGGACGAGAGAGAGATATGGCGAGCGAATTTTTCTTTGACCGAGTTTTCCGTACAGTTCATTGAGACGTTCGCGAGCGTCGGGTTCTCTATCGATTTCGTAAAAGTCTACGACGTGGCCGCTGTGCATTCCGTGCTCTCTTTTTTTTTCGCACGACACAATACCCGCAGCGTAGTTCTCGGTTAAAAGCCAATGCGGCGGCAGGCAGGAAGTATTCAGCGTCGAAATTTTCTACGAGCGATTTCGAGCGCGAGCGCGCCCAATTGTCTGCGCGGCTTTGTAGCCCCTATTGATAGACGCGAGGCACTACTCGTGCACGCGCATGCCGAAAATTCCACGCGTCGTAGACAAAAGGCCGATCGAAAGAGTACGAGACTTTATTGGAAATTATATGCGCATTGATCAGGGTGAAACTGTTCAACTGCACTTTTATTAAATGCTGTTGATTTTTTTTTAAATTGTCGCTGCTCGAGTACAACCAACACATTCTGGCAGACTAGAGAATCTGCAAACGCTTTTCCAATAGTTTGTTGTTACTGTGTGGTCGTTGCAAATTGTTTATTACGGGTCTGTTCAAAGACTCGCGTACAAACTACTCGACTCTTCGTAGCGATACTTCAATAATTCTAGTGTGAAAAGACGGTCGAGTCTGAAGAGATCGGAGATTACTAGACAAATGCATTTAGCGCGATCATCCATCTCAATCTCTGTGGTAATCGTTGCCTCACTGTCGACGGGCATTTAAGCAACGTGAATTGCCATTGAAAGCAGTGCATAGAGGGCGGATACATGCATGGGTAAACGTCATAGGAGGCGGTCGACAGCGCGCGCGCAACGCACGTTACACGTACGTTTTGTGCGACGCGGGATTAAATCGTCGTCTAGACCGGTACCCGATCGATGTACGTTTGTTCGGCGATTGATTTTTTTTTTCCTCCTACGGTAACAGCTGGCGAGAAGCCCTTTCGGTCGACTGGATTGAGCTCGCAGCGCGCTTTTTCTCTCTTATTGGAGCTTATGAATGAAATTTTGAGCTCCAGCCTTCTATAGGAAAGTTGCGAGCTATTTGATATGCACTGGTGGTCGCGCGAAGAAAAAAAATTGCCTCGGCATTTCGTTTTGATTTCGGACGATGATATATATAAAAAGTCTCGTTTCGGAGTTGAACGATCATGGGTCCAGAGCTGCTTGCATATTTTTTTGAAAATTCGCGCTACGCATCCGAAGGAAAGTAGACGTCGACGTTGGCATCGAGTAGTTACAGTTTCGTGTTTTATCAGTATCTTCGCGAGGAACTAAAACCTCAATTTCATTTCGCGGCCATCGTGATAGTGTCAGTCCCATCGATAGCATTTTTCTATCGCCGACAAATTTATACGAAGTAGAGCCAATGATTAAAAAAAGCATCTGCTATTCGTTTTGTGGTGCTTGCGTTCGTATCGCGAAGGAAAAATCGACGTCTTTGAAGTGTTTCGTGCAATCAAATGAACCGACGTGACCGCGCCGAGAATGAGAAAACCGGGATCTATCGAAAAGTGCCTCGCGCACGCTCGTCATCGTCGAAAAAAATTGTTCGACGCTGCGCGGCGACGCGTATTTTTTTCCGGCTATTTTCGACTTCAAAGTCAGGCATCCTTCGTCATAGTTTACAGACAAGCGAGCGAGTGTGCCTGGAGCGTACACGTAGCTTGCTCGTGCTCTCCTTTTTTTTGTAGTTTTTTCGCTCGACTCAATCTTAATCCATTAGCTCGGAACTTTCGTGTAAACATCTCTGTTCGCCTGTAATTTATTAAATGAAGGATGTGTTGCGTTGAGGCAGCATCCTTGACTGCTTTCCCATTGACTTTGCAACTGATGCTCCTTTCCATACTCAGCATCTTGAAATAGTTGGCAACAGTGAGAGTATTTTACAAAATAATTTGGATGGAAGGTTATCGCGGTCGTTACTGGATTCGTTACTGGATCAGTAACACTTATCGTCGACAGATGGACTTACGGTGACATTGTAATCACGAATAAAACGCGACTTACTTAAATATTCAGGAAGCTGTAAGCGTTTCAGTTTGTTCGTCAATGGTTATCAGACGATTGACAGCTAGATTCAATGTACGCCTATCAAATTTGTCTCATTTGACATAGCGACTCTCACTTGTAAAACGTCGTCGATTCAAATTCCGGTATTAATTCAAAACGAAAATCTCAGCTGCGAATCCGCGCGATCGATCAGAAAGTAGCGCGGAAGCACTAGAACTCTATCAACGATTTGATTATTCGTCGGCCGTCGCGCCCGATCGTCATGATATAATTCGAAAACTAGTTGAAGCCCGGAGAGTGAAAGAGAAAAAGAAAGGGCGTGCAGCAGAGCCGGGAATATCTCGTATGCGCGAAACGAGAGGCACTTGTACGAAAGTCATCGCGCTGGCTCTTATGCGTATGAGCTTGTCGGACATGCAGTCTGGCACTTATCGTTCGCTCTCTTGTCTCCGGCGTCAAAGACCTGTCAACGTTTAGACACGATACAACTTGACTTTAGCCGATGCGCGTGAAAATGCATGTTTTTCAGCTGCCTCGTCGTCGTCGGGGCCATCGACAGCGGGGCAGGAGGGAAATCGTCGATTAACGAGCTTTTAGAGAAAGTCGGACGCGCGAGAAAACATCGATAAAGACAAGCCCATCGATGTGTATACCCGTTGCGAAGGCACCTCTGGATAGTCCTCAATCGTGGCTCTATGAATTTTCCGTGTTCCACGTTCGCATGAAACTCGTTCTCGCGAGCGAGAGGCGAAGCGTTATTTGTCATCCGCGAAGCTTCTGTGCGCGCGATAAACCGATGATGGATCACCAAGACGCGGCACGCGGTGCTTAATGGGGGCGACGTTAGCAGTAGTAGTAACACCTGTCGAAAAAGTGCTGATGTGCCACGTATAATTGATTTCGACAGGAGGAGGCGCGTGAAAAAAGAAAAACATCTCTTCGCGTTGCTGTTTTTGGAGGCACGCTGCTTTCTCGTTGAAGACGCTCGTTAAAGTACTTGTCAATTGTTTCCTCGAACGACTGCGTTCGCGGTCGTTGACTTGCCCCCGCACGTACGTGTCGAAAAATGCAATCTGGCAATTTCGAAAACTGCAGTGGCTATCGTCCCCACTCGAACAATTCGACGAGGTTTGTAGCGCTTTTATCGGTTGTTGATTGCAAAGAACGAACGAAACATTGAAACGTTCGTAAGGTTACAATGACTTATCGGCAAACAAGTGCCAAGAGACATTCTAATCTGGATCAGCTGAAATTACTCGGCAGGTGAAATGAAATTCGATCAAGTTGGCGCCTGCAAGGACGCAATGTGTCGCAATTGCTTTTTTTCTCGTACTCGATACCGATTATAGTATAAGTAACCCACCAGCTCCTCTCTCGTTTTGTTCTTTTCGATTTATCAATTTCTCGTGTACTGCTAGATGATAGATTATCGCGGCCAGGTGTGTTGTTGTATGCTGGTTTCGTAATTACAGAAGAAATAAAGGCCTTATCGCAAACTGTTGCGCTAATGAATTTTTATACGATGGATTTTGTAAGGTGTATTTTTTTGCGAATGAGACCCGTCGCGGATTTAATTTTGTATTTCTCTCGTTGTTGTCGACAGATTAACGTCGATAAGCTCGTTAGCGAGATCGCGAGTAATTTGCATTTTGCGCCTTTCATCTTCGCCGAGTTGGCAAATGTAATAGTTACGTTCACCCATGCTGCATTACATTTCGACCGTGTTTGGCCGATGTGGAGTTTCGGTGAAAAGCAAAATATTTTGGTAGAAGTGCGATTAAAGCAAGCTGTACTCACGCAACGATTTCCATTTCGTTTCCACATCCGCGACTTTCGAGCCGTGCCTTCGTCGCATTCCTTCCCCAGCGAATCAAACATTTTGACCCGACCCTCGGCCCGCGACTTAATGTAATTTCAGCCACTGGCAAGCGAAAAATAACCGACTCCCTCCACTCACCGGAATCAGCCGTGCAAATAAATCAGGTCGATCAAGCCAAACAAAGAAAAAACAATAAACGAAAATATCTTACCGGTGCTCAAGTTGGCCAACGGGCGTTCGGACGTTTCCGGCGGCGTTCGGGCAAGCGGGCGCGAAAGAGAAGTGAGAGAGAGAGAGAGAGGCAACGCGCGAGCGCAAGTCGGCGGCGCGACTCAGTAAGCGACGAGCCTTCACCCCGTGAGCTTCGTCGTGCTCGCGACGCTGCAGCTTTCTGTTGTATTCGCGTATTGTTGTTGTTGTTGTTGTCGTCGCCGCTACTGCCGCTTCGACGTGGCAGTGATCTCGTGAGTGATCGATGTTTCATCTGCGGAAGGTTGGTTGTTTGCTGGGCGATCGGAACCGCGATGCGAACGCGCAGCTTCTGTATTTGTAATTGATCGCGCACGTGGGTTGACTTTCACTTCAGCCGAGAGAGAGAATTCGATACTCTCTGGCGCGATGCATCAGACGTAATTAGCCGGAACCTGGAAGAAAAAAAAAGAAATTAGAGAGGGGATTACCTTCGGACGGTTGCGTCTTATATTACCCGGATGATTCCTACTTTAATCCTTCGCAAATCTTCCGTCGTGATAAACTGCGCTCGCGAGCGAGTTCGCCGGTCGCCCGAGATTTCCGAGGCTCTTGTTGTCGTTTGCGAAGTGTGCAACTTACTATTTTTCTTCCGACAATCGATACGGTTATCTAGCTTTTGGATTAACTTAACGACCGAAAGATAATGTCTCGCTCCGAAACGGAATGCAAATGAAGACGGAAAAAACACACACAATCAAATTTATTCGAGATAAAAGTCAGGTTTTAAGAAGAAGCTCCCTTTTTGAATTCCTCCTACATACACGGAAGAACGCGCGAGAGAGAAAAAGAGACGTATAATAACACGCAACGGTGTCCGCGGTCCGTGATCGTTTCCTCCGTTCCTTATTTTTACGATAGCCGACCGTATTCCACTACATATCCACTTGCTGACAAGCAGAGCGCGACTTTTCTGTCACTATAAAATTCAGGGGATTGTCTTGAATAATTTTTCTTTTATTTTTTTGTGAAATCGAGCAGTGTTTGGAGTTTTTGCGTAACTCGTGTGATTATTCTACGCGAGTGTTGCGTTTTGATAACGATAATTAGAGTCGCGTACACGCTGTATCTTGTTTCGAAACTACACGATTGTCGTGAAAAAAACATGCATTTATATCGTAGTTCACACGCGAAGGTACGAGAATGAATTATCACTAAATGACTTAAGGGAAATTCAAATAGAAAATGTTTTGCTGAGATTTTACTAATCGATAATTTTTCATCGTGCAATTTTATGGATTTTAGGACACGTAAGCATAATCGTTAAACAAAATCGTAATAATAAAACAAAAACAAGCTTGAACGGATCTACAAGTACGAAAAGGAAATATTGCGCCGTATATATTTCACAAGCTGTCTGGTGTTATACAGTTTCGTTTTAAATCATAACACGCACTGATCGTGAATTGCACGTTAGACGTGTATGGAGTTGAAACTTACGATGTACAGATTATAAAATTGAAAAACGCCATTTCCACTGGTGATCATTCAATTACAACTATTTTGAAAACACGTAACGGTGAGGATTTTGCTGCCCTTCGGACAGATAAATTTGAATAGCCTTTGGCGCGCGCGAATATGGCTTTCGCGTGTTTCCGGCGATAACCGCGCTTTAATCCCTCGTTGATTAGCGTACGTACGCGCCCCGAGTTTGTGTGCGCGGGGAAAATAAAATTTGATTCTTACGGAATGAGAGAGATTAAAACAAGGACTGGTTCTCTGGACGTATTGGTGTAACTGCACACGTTCACTGTTATAAACATCACAGGAGATTTCCATTTTAGGGTTGAACGTTGCGGCTTCGGCAGGTGCACGGTGCCGTGCAAATTGTACCGTAAATAGCATCGATTATCAATACAATGAATAATTATTCAATGAAAAATGGGTCTTTCGCTCGCCCGCGAGCTCAGTCGCAACTTACGATGCGCAACATAATGGAAATTTGATGTCTGAGCCGGGGCTGCTCTCAATCGATTCCAAAAGGTGAATAAAGAGCGCCGCGGAAACTAATGAACAAAAAAACAATGCGAGTCGCGCCGCCGATAAAACTAATTTTGCAGCTGGCATTGCAATCGGCCAGTCGAGGTCCTCGCCGACGACGGCGCGATTCCCGGCGCGGCCCGAACGGCAGGTCGCTCGCGGGCGCTTCCTCGTTTCTCTTCCGCTGCGTGCGGAGCGCCGAGCGGTGGGCGCGTGCCTGCGTGGGAAAGGCGCGCTTGCTACGGTCAAGATCTGCGGTGGGCGCGCGCGCGCTCGCGGATTTTCATCGTTTCGCGGAAGGCCGCCGAGCCGATGAGCGGTCTCCGTCGGCTGTTTTCACATTTTACGGTTATTGATTGCTGCCTTGCTCTTCTTTATTACCGCGTCAAATCGGCTTTTGCATGCTATTTCAATGACACTGGCTGCTGCTGCTGCGCTCAATCAAATAGAGCGGAATGATGCTTTTGTATTGCCCAAATGTTTTTTGTTGGCGCGTCGTGCTTCCTTTGTCACTGATATCCTTTGCCAGCCGCTGCAATTGCTCAGTCATGCCGAACTTTTGTGCGCGCGTTATTGCAAAGCAATTCAGGTTCCTTCCTTCGTATTGTTGTCGTGCTAATTTATATAAATGCTGGCTAATGTTCGCTGATTGCAATCCATTACATTTGATGTAACTTCACCGCAGACAATAATGTACACGATCATAGATTGAATTGCGTCTTTCAATGATAACTTGTCGGCAAATTATTTAAGAATCAATGGCAATATTCAAAGCTCGTTTGCTTCAACGATTTCACACAATTGAATTTCACACTAAAACTAAACTGCTGGAGTAATTTATTAAAGTATTTAATTTTAGATAGGAGAAATGTCACGACTGCGTATGAAAATAAACACGTTTGCAAGCACTGCGATAGCATCACTCTTTTTTGACGATACTGTTAATTATAAATAAAATAAATATTCTAAATGGTAAAATAAATCACCAACCTTTCACGCGCCTCTGTCAAGCCCAAATCGCTCGAGAGCCCAGAAGAAATTCGAGCAAAAATACAAATTAACATAGCTTTCTAATCGTCGAGCGACTGGCGGCCTCACGTTTAATTAGGCCAAAAACGTTTAATAAATTCTGCAACAGCGCGCAGCAAAGTCTCGCGGTTTACACTAAGATCACCGGCACGATCGTGAGGTCAGGGCCACCGTCCCTTCCAGATACAAACGACAGCGACGGCACGGCTGAACGTCCTGCCGCGCTCTGATTTCATCTCGGGGCACGACAGATATTTCGTATTGGCTTCTCTCTCTCTCTCTCTCTCTCTCTCTCTCTCTCTCTCTCTCTCTCTCTCTCATTGTGTCGCCGCTGCGCGCTGCCGTGTACCCGAAGTTACTTCACGGATTAGCGGGACACCCACAAACCTTTTCTATTTTCTTTTTTCGGCTTGTGGGAATCTCTTTGTCGCTCTTTCAAATGTTAATTCGCCAGAGGAAAAGGAAAATTGACGGAAGTTTCATAACACCGCGCGCGTGAGAGAGAATATCTTTCGAAAAAGAAAAGAAAAAAAGGAAGAAAGAGAGAGAAAAAAAATGCTCGAAAATCACACGTTCGCGTCGACAAGCGACGGACACGACCTTTTGCGCACAGACCCCACCTACGTAAGCGAAGGCTCGCGTAACAGACGTTTAGTTTCCCCTGTAATTTCGAGCAGCTATAGTCGTCGATATTTTCGTACGCGTTGTTTATTCCTTTGTCGAGCGCGTCGACAAGAGTCGACAGCGAGCGAGAGGACGCGACTCCGCGCCGCGCGATCCCAGACGATCGAACTGCAATCGTCAGAGCGCCGATAAGCCTTCGCGGTGGGAAGAGCACCGCGTTACATCAGCTCTCAGCCCCTCTCGCTCGCGCATTACGTCGAACGGTCTCTCATTATGTGCGCGCATAAAACGGAACGTTTCTCTCTCAATCCGGCTGCCATGCTTGACTCGCCCTAAGAATAGAAATCGACGCGCCCAACTTGCCTTGCCCCTCGGGCTAATTTTCCATTTAAAAGTATATTTCTTCTTGATTAACTTCCACGATATCGCGCTCTCTCGAGATTAATCATAACTTTTTTGCGCGCTCCTTGGCTTTTTTTTTTCTTTCCTTTCCTTTCCTTTCCTTTGCAATCATTTTGTGCTTGCGCGCGCGATCGAGTTTTTCTCTCTCTAGCTGAGAGGTTGCTTGCTCGTGCTACGTGTGTATATATAGTTCGAGGGAGATGATGATAGACCTCTGTTTAAGTACGTACTTTCATTTTTATTGAGAGTTAACTATATTTTCAGCAGAAAGAAGAGGAGCATCATTATTTTCTTTTTCCAACATTGAAAATTCGTGTAATTTTGCTCTGTAATGAGACTTTTTAAAAGTTGCTTTTTTGATCGGCTGAACCTACCTTAAGTTAGTTTTCTTGGAAGTATATTCGTTTGTTCGGGTAGCGAATGAAAGCTTTTCGTAACGACAAAGTTAAATATTTGTTGTTTTAAAAGTAACACCAGAAGCCGAAGAACGTCTAAAGTACGAAATATGCTTTTAGAATAAATTGTCTAATTTCGAAATACTTCTCTCTCGTAATTGCTCAAAAAATAGCTCACTTATAAAACATCAGTGGTACGGCAACGCCAACGCCAAAGCTGTCAAAACTAAGAAAAAAATGCGCAAATTACATCTCATCAACACTATTCAATTAGTCGCGGCCTAGTCGGCTGAAGATGAAAGCACATTGCCGCAAAATAAAAAACCGAAATTGCAACGATTATCTTGGGACGAGCAGGGATGCACAACGACCTCTCTCTGCCCAAAACCAGTTCAGGCGATCTTGATCTTGTCATTTGATTCCTTCTCTCTGTGGGTTTTGTCGACGAAAAAAAAATACTCGATGTTTTCGTTCGAGAGCCAATTGCCAACTGACAAATTAGATTTTCGAATGGATCCGCGGTGTCGAAACAATGAACCCGTTGAACTTGATCGCTCGTTGGCGCTTATGTAAACACACGGTACAAAATTGTAATTATGTATCCTAATAGAAATCTACACGTGCGTGCAGCGAACAATCGGCACAATATCGATTTCGTATCTACGGTGTTGATTTCATAACGAGCTTTCTGTCGCATGAGAAATTACTTTGTCCGGCGCGTCGATTAACAAATACACTTGAATCGCTGAGCAAAACAACCAAACCATTTCCGCAAGTAGGCTTTGCTCGGGGTCATGTGCAGCTAAGGTGACAAACAAGAGGTGGTGCGCGAGTGCGACGTACGCGCGTGGGACAGAATGGAGTCGCGACGCAGTCGTCATCATCATTATCAACAGCAGCAGCAGCAGCAGCAGCAGCAGCAGCAGCAGCAGCAGCAGCAGCAGGTTGACCAGCAAAGTGGTGACTCGTGCGGCGAGAGCGACATGGAGGGTCTTGACCTCTCGCTGTTCGAGCCTCAGGCCGACACGAATTCGTGGTGCGGCGACATCAGCGGCAGCGGCGCCAGTACGGCTGGCCGCGTGCACGCCGGCTTCCTTTACCTGCTCGTCCATTATTGCGGTAAGCCGTGCCATATCGACTGCTATACGCGCTATCGCGTTGTACCGCAGCATCGATAATTACGCCGTTCTTCCACGATGCCTCGACCGAACGTTCCCCTGCACGCGAGATGCTTGTTTGCTTTCGAATAGGTAAAAGCGCGCTAATAGCCAGGCATTTGACGGGGCTCTCGATGCACTGATCGGATCTCGCGCGCAAACTGCTATGTTCCTCCCCGTCGGCTTTTTTTTTTCTTTCTTTCTTTTCTTTTTATTTTTTTGCCTTAAATATTTCACCAAGCGCGAAAAGCTCTCTCGATCGATAAACACGCTATATGGACATGCACTGTACTGCGCCTCACTTACAACGCTGATGGCGCTTTGTAACTATTTGTTCCAAAGTGCAGCTCGACGGCGTGCTGTATTTTAGCATTTCATTTATTTATTTGTTTTTTTTTTCACGCGAGATTTTATTTCGTCGTGGCCTACTTTACGTCTCGTCAGTCGGGTACACGACTGGCATTAATACGTGGCTCGAAGTTTGGTCGGATATAAAAATACGTCTTGTCTTCTCCATCGCAACTTGCCTGAACCACTCAAGTAGATGGCTAGCCCGTTTCGGTGGACACACTCATTACTGGCCCGATATCTGCAATTCGATTCGAGTTTTCGTTGCTTCCGTTCGCATTCAGCTCGGAAATTGGAAAAAGAAAAACAGGCGAGAGCGTCAGGGGCAAAGTGAGCGCGTCGGCGGCGAGCGAGCGGCGCCGATAACGCGTGTCGTCGTACGGGCTCAAAGGTGTAGTCTTTCTCGCTTCTCTCTTTTGTCCTATCGATTATTCGCGTAGATGCCTGCCGAGCGAGAGGCTGGACTGACGGATTACGCTGAGCGGCGACGTAACGTATACATGTATGCAAGCTCGCTCGCCTGCTCGTGGAAAACTCACTGCACAGCCTCGCACTTTGTCATTCTTTCCTTTTATTTGTTCGCGAGAGGCTCGCCGAGAGCTTCTTGTTGCGCCGCCTTGTCGACGAGGATGGACGACGCTTTTCCACTCTCTTTGCTACACGGTAGAAGGACCTCCGCGCTTCTTCTCTGTGTGTGTGTATGTCTCTCTCTCTCTCTCTTCCAAGGGATCCGAGAGAAAAAGTAAAAAGGTGGTTGCTAAGATTGAAGGAATGCACCTTTTCCCGCGAAGCAAGTTTCGCTGTGATTATTACAATGCGTATGCTCCTCTTTTTTTCTTTCATTCTTGCAAGTATTTGGATTATTGTTTTTGGTAAAAATATTTTCTGTTTGAAGTAAAACAGGAGCTTGAATCATGTAAAGTAAAGGGAGTAATGGATATTTATAGCCCGAGGATATACGCGGTACGTGTTGAAACTGTTATTTATTATACAAACATCGCCGAATGACGTCTCAACATAAATCTATTTATTCGGAGGGGAGAAAAACTGAGTTGGGTTCTTCAATTTGGAGTGGAATGCTTTTCAAGAGAGATTTTTTGATTGCAATTTTGAAGATGATCACTGTGTAGACGAATACGTGAAATTTACAGTTATTTCGGGGAACGACAATCACGGGCACGCGTGCAGATTACCATTGGCTCAAACATTTCACTCGTCGTCAGCAACAATCGTCGAAATTCCAAGCGAAACAATCAGCGATTCCCCATTCATCCGCGCAAAAATGTCTTCTTCCGAAAATAACTCGCGCAGATGCACTCGAGGCCGCGCGTCCTCGTACTCGAGCATTTATGTATATAAAGGAGCACAGTGGCACGCATGCAATATTCAGTTGACATTAGCATACAATGCGTATGTACGAGTTATGATTTCATTTTTTGTTTTGTTTTTGCTTTGCGTAATCGTTTTATTGGCGCGCGCGTGCGCGCGAACGATAAGTAAGGAGCATCTCCGTTTAGTCGAGCGCTTGATGCGGGAAATTTCACGCTGTGCGTGCGTCATTTGAGCCGATGATTTATCGAGAGAGTAGAGATATATAGACACAAGCAACAACGATGCGCTCGCTGCCACTCGATTAAATTTCGTAAGGTTTACATTTGCGAGCGGCGCGGAGAGATCGCCGATGATAGGATTATTTATGAGGACGGATGTGGAATTTATTTTGATGAGGTGAGCGGATTTTATCGCTGTTGTGGTGTGACGTCGAATGAATGCACATTTGGCGGCGATGCAAGTCTAAGAATACAAGCTTATTTCGCGCTTGGCGTCGAAATATTTTTAAATGAATACGTTGGTCGGCGCGACACTCGCGGAACAATTGAAAATTTCAGCGCAACGTCGCACGCCCATCGCCGCTTTTCACCGAGGGATGAACGAAATACTCTCACTGAAGACGAAGTGAAGTTACTCTTACGTCAAATGGGCAACGTTCAAAGGACAAAGCATGCGCCGAGAACAATTTTCAATCGAATCGAAAATCAAACTCTTCGGTGCCAATATAAGAAAGAAAATACCTAGGAGATCGTCAACCTTGCGCTCCTAATATAACCCCTTCCCCCATTAAATAGCAACATAATAGAACAATTGTCCAGCCGAACGGAGGAAAGAGAAGACGACCCTCGGGATTTTTTCCTCATTGAAGAGGACTGAAAAAACACAGAGCGATCTTCCTCTCTCTCGCGCGCAGCAATTAAGGAGTCGTAACCTACGATCGCCGATCGAATAGATATAATCTACGGCGGCGAGGGGAGTTCTTCTATATATCGTGCAATTACCGTGAACGCGACACTTTTTGCTCCTGCCCCGGCGAGCGCCAACAAAGAAGAAAGGAAGTTATTCCTATGTCGACGATTCTATCGAAAACTTATACGCGCGTGTAAGCGTCCAATTAGATGGAAATTTCAAGCGCGAGCCGCACATATAAATTCTCCTTGTAGACGAGAGGGAATTGCTGGTAATTGGGCGTTTTGCGTGAATTTTAAGATCGCCAGGCTTGCTATGGAGATTGCTTTTGCTTCTGTGCGGCAACGATGCTGTGCGCCTGCCCTATTTCGAAAATTGCGTTTGCGCCAAAGTGCCTGCTTCGGAAGTTTGCTGATTAAATTTTATTCGGGATGTGAATGTGCGCGCGTGGATCTTGCTCTTTGCGGCAGTTCGTTTGTCAGCGACGCGAATATTCATCCGCGTGTACACCGAGTAATTGAGGTTTCTGTCACCACGTGCATCTTCCTGTCTGAAAGCGAATTATATGCCGATTGTTCTACTTCTACTGTCCTCATGCCGTCTCATGTATTTCTATGGTCCAAGCAGTCGCGCGATTCTCTCAGTTATTGTGAGCGCAGCAGCAGCCAGTTATTAAACAATCAAAACTATATTCTAAGCAGTCCGCAGAACCACGAAACTCAACCGCGCGCACTCCGTTATCCAATTTCAACTTTCTTTGCGAGCGATGCATCGCACAATCCCCCTTTTCGCTCACCGCAGCTGACATATTCGCGCCTCTTGAATCGTGCTCCGCGTTAAGACTGCGCTGCAAGAAGAACAGCGAAATATGGGACAAGTTGTCCTTTTTTCCTTTTTTTTACGTGTCGATTTAATTACAGCCGTCACCGTGTAATTCTATGCTGCTGTCGTCGGTCAGAGCAGAGAGCGTGCACAAATCCATGCTGTGGCAGGTCACGAAAGCTCGCGGCTTTTTCATCGAGGGCCGTAGCGATTGCGCGGAAAGGAAATTTTTAAGGTATTCCTGATTATAAGATAATTGCTAGCGTCAAGCCGATGAATCTTTCTTTTGCTTGTCAGGGAATTCATCCTAGTTGTAACTTGACGATCCTCTTGTATGGCGTGCTGACGCTCCCAAGTGAATTAAATTTGTGTTTTTTTCACAATACTCACACTGCTAGACGGATGTCGCTTTCAGTTAGCGGCTTAATGGAGCGTTGGCGATCAGATCGGTCACGTGAAAAAAAACATCAAGGAAATCTATATAGGTATAGATGGAAGCAGATCACCCGATCTAACTCGATCCGAACTTACAAACTTAATGCCAAATTATTAGATGCAGGATGCAGTTGCTAACGCAGCATTAAATTGGACTTGCTAATCTCCATCCGGGGAGCTGCGGAGATTATATCCAATCCATAGTAAGCTTTTCGCTCTCTCTCGCTCTCTCCCTCTCTCTCTCTCTCTCTCCACAGAGTAAGATACACCCGGATTTAGCCAAAGTTTTTATCTATTTGCAACTCTCATCGAATTAATTACCGTTTAATTTTCTCCTTCCTTTTTTCCATGCCCTGGATGGTGACTATCAGACGGGAACGCACTTCTAATGTATGTCGGCCGCAAGATGAAACAACTTTCTTACGTAGTGCAAGATTGAAAGTGTAACTGCGCGCTCGCGCCAGTCTAATCATGTTCGGCTCGTTTCACCCAGTAAACGTCGCGCGTGTCACGACGTCTATGCGCTGCACTTTTTTCCCTTTCGTTCGTTGCCATTTGGTTATCTCTGCCCGGAGTGTGTTTTATGGGGCCAGTGAAAGGTTCCGAGGTACGTATTGGATATTATAAGCCCTCACTCGGTAAATCACTCTGCATGTTCGACAGACAATGTAAGGTTGAGAGATACGCAATTTTTCGTTGGCGCGTAACGGTGTTGCAGGTGTATGGCGTTTCAAATGAAAGATAATCTGATATTCGTTTACCTTTGGTAAGCAAACGACTGTATCGCAACACTTTACAGTACACCTTGGAAAATAGAACAGCGTTAAGATAAAAGAGCAATTGGAACAAGATTAATTAAGAAAAGCAAGAGCCCATCTCAAAATGTTTTTGCAGTTACTCGCAGTTATACTTCAATTGAATTGACAATTAAATGAGACGTTCCCGGAATACACTCTGTCAAATAAGTTGAGCCTCTCTGAAATCGATTGACTCGTTTCGGATATACGCGCCACCTACGTTACAGAAAGAATTCAAGTCGAATGCAGAACCTTCTCCTGTTCGAAGTCGGCAAAAATATATAAATGATGGAGTCAATTTCTCCGGGAAAAACAAACA